AGTTTTACTTACTTTTTTATCACTTTTTTTATTTATTTTTTTAATTTTTAGCTTGTCGTTTACTTTTTTTTATTTTTTTGTATATTTTCTATCTTATTATTGTTTATTTATTTTTTACAATTACTTTCTTATTATTTTTTAATATTATTTTTATTTTTTACTTTTTAATGACTTTTTTTTATTTTTTTTCATTTAATTATTATTTCTTATTATTTTTTTATTTTTATTTCTTTTTTTATCAATTTTTTTTCACTTAACTTTATTGCTATCACACAAGAGAAAACAATCCCCTGTGTGATAGCAATTGGAGGCAACAGGTTCTCTTTATTGACCCTGTCACCTCCAATACAGGAGTTCTAGCGCAGCGCTGTGCTGGAAATCCTGTCACAGCTGAGATGGGAAGAGCGCAGCAAGCACAGCTCTCCCCTCTCACTGTGTACATCGGCGGCAGGGACAGGAGACAGACTCGGCGGCCGGGGGGGACGAGCGGATTTCCCCACACTACATTTAGTCCTGTCTTCCCAAAGCAGGACTGAATGTAGAAGGCAAATGTAGAAGGCAACTTACCGCCCGGCACCCGGAATTGTATGTCCCGGGCGTCGGGGGACTCCACACCGCTGCCGCCCCTAGGCGCCCTGCTGCCCTGAGGCCTGGCCTCTGTGGCCTTGTTGGGAATCCGGGCCTGACTGTCCCTCTAGCATTCAACGCTAGGCAACAATGGGCAATTCAGCACCAGGTGTGATGAAGGAAGGAGCAGCAGGAAAGCATTGGGGAGTATCAATATGTTGAGGAGGGACGTCTTTGCAAAGACACTGCATGAGCGAGGTGAGAATGTCTTTTTAAGGAGCATGGGTCATAAGGTCACTCTTAACTTTACTTTATACCATGCTTCTAATAATAGAAGCCCCTTTCACTATGACTCAAGTCCCATTCATCCAGTAAACAGATGACATCTCTTTACTCTCCGGCTCTTACCAATGTGCCGGCATAATCTGTGCTCATTTGTTGTGGGCTGCGTGACTCACACTTATGGTGGATCCAGTGGCGTAACAATAGCCATAGCAGCCCTCCAGCTACTATGGGGCCTAGAGGTGGAAGGGTTACCCCATTAAGGATTGCAGAAGTTGCTGTTGACCCTGTACCCCCTACGACATTTCCAATCAAGAAGAGCAGACATCAGATGTACAGGAGAAGACTATGCAGACAGCTCTCCTGCTACTTGTACTTGATTTAGATTTGAAGGGGCCACCGTAGGCCGGAGGCCCCATCAAAATTTTGCTTTGGGGCCCCATGATCT